ATCAGTATTAGAATAGATACTATAGCAAAGAAAATTATAAGGGATAAAGAGAGACATTACATATTGATAAAATGGTGAGTTCACCTCGAAAGCATAATAATTATAATTGTATGTGCACTTAACAGAGCTTCAGCGTACACAAAGGAAACCTGACAGAGCTGAGAGAAGAAATGTAAAAATCTACATACAATTACAGTTATAGACCTCACTATTCCTCTCTCAAAAGTTGACAGAACAATTAGACAGAAAATTATCAAGAATATAGAAGGACTCAACAATACCATCAACCAAAAGAATCAAACTTACATTTACAGAACACTGCACTCAACAATAGCAGAATCACATTTTTTTTTTTCAAACAGCCATAGAACATATACTGAGGTAGCATATGTCTCAGGCCAAAAAATAAACCTTAACAAATTTTTTAAATACACTGAAATCTATATATTGTATTATCTGAACACAAAGACATGAAATTAGAAATTAATAACAGACACATTTTAAAATATCACTTATAACAAAATCAAAAATAAGAAATATGAAGGAATAATGCTAACAAAACATTTACAGAATCTATATTCTGAAAACTACTAAACATTGATAAAAGTATGCCCCCCCAAATTAAAAACAAACTGTATTTATGGATTGGAATACTCAATATTGTCAATGTTCACTATCCCCCTGCCAATTGATCTATAGGTTTTATGTAATTTCTATCAAAATCCCAGGAAAGTGTTGTGTAAAGACACAGATGTCCTTCTCTCTTCTCCTTGTCTTTCTCCCACTGCTTCTCTCCACTCTCTTGCAGTATTTCTCATTGTTTCCCTGCCCCAGAATTTCATCCTTAGATGAAGCACAACCCAGGTGAGTGCTTCCTTTTTTATGTTTTTAGCTTCATCTATACACTAACAATTCTCAATATACCCCTGATCTGTAGCTTGAGTAGTGTTCTCTACTGAGATCTTAAACAGGTATCTAAAGCTAATAATGATCAAAACTGAACCCATCATCTATTTTCTGTAGCTTCTCCTCTTCATATAACTCATATTTTGATTGTACCATTAGTCACCCAAATGCCAATTCTGGCATTTTCTTTTCTCCTTACTTTCTTTCTTTTCTTTTCTCTTTCTTTTTTTCTTTCTCTCTTTCTTTCTCTCTCCCTCTCTCCCCCTCTTTCCTTCCTTCCTTCCTTCCTTCCTTCCTTCCTTCCTTCCTTCCTTCCTTCCTTCCTTCCTTCCTTCCTTCCTTCCCTTCTTTCTTTCTCTCTCTCTCCTCTCTCCTCTCTCTCTCTATTTCTTTCTTTCTGGGAGTCTTACCCTGTCACCTGGGTTGGAGTACAGTGGCACAATCTTGGCTCACTACAACTTCTGCCTCCTGGGTTCAAGTGATTCTCCTGCCTTAGCCTCCCGAATAGCTGGGACTACAGGCATGCACCACCATACCTGGCTAATTTTTGTTCTTTGAGTAGAGATGGAGTTTCACCATGTTGGTAAGGTTGGTCTCAAACTCCTGACCTCAGGTGATCCACCAGCCTCAGCCTCCCAAAGTGCTGGGATTATAGGCGAGAACCACAGTGCCCAGTCCTGGCATTTATCTTACGCTCTCTCTTTCTCTCATCACCAGATCAGTCTCCAAGATTTGCTAATTTGGGTCTATAAGTGTTAATCAAATTGGTCCTGCGTCTATTTCTCTTACAAAAACTCTAATATGAACTTCTTTTCTCCTCTGTGCTATAACAAAAGCCTCCAGAGTGATTTACTTTCCTAAGATTTTATAACCTTTTTAAGAAATTTTAAAAAATTTGAAATAATTCCTAATTACAAAAAAGTTTCAATACAGTACAAATAACTTTTGTTTTGAACCATTTGAATATAAGTTGTCAACCTGATGTCAATCATCCCAGAGTATTTATTGTGCATGTGCTACAAACAAAGACAATCTTCTACATAATCATAATATAATCATCAAAACCGAGAAATTAAGTGACATCACTACCATCTAATCTACATATCCCATTAAATGTTTGCCAATTCTAACAACAGTGCCCTTTATAGCAAAAATAAGTCTTGTGCAGAACCATGTATTGCATTTAGTATTCATGCTTTTAATTCTTTCTTTGACCTTCATTTTTGAAAATAAAGTCAGTTATTTTGTAAACAAATCTTAAATTTTTGAAGCAAATCTACAAGTTGGACTTATTTGATGCTTCCTTGTGATTGGATTAGGTTATGCATCTTTCATAGAAATGCCACAGAAGTGATGCTATGCTCTTCTTATTGCTCCTCTCAAGTAGTGTATGATTTCCCCATTACTAAAGATGTTCACTTTGATCATCTTATTAAAGTGGTACTTGCCAGGCTCCTCCCCTGTGAAGTTACACTTTTCCCCTTAGTAATTAAATATTTTTACAGAAAGCTATTTTGTTACTAGGAAAACAACATTGTTTCTCATCTTCAACATCTCATCTAAACTTTAAATTAATTTACATATCGATTTATATCAGTATGAATTAAAATTTTGTTTTATTCAATGGGTTGCAATTGATTACTATTATATTTTTATATAGCAGTTAAAACTGTCCCAGATTTGACACTTTAATATGCATCTCTGTCCTTTTTGTTACATGTTTCCATCATTCTTTGAACACTTCTGCTTACTTTAAAGATGTTCTGAATTCATCTTGTACTTTCCCTACCCTATCCCTGGAATCAGGCTTTTTCTCCAATGACCCCTGATTCCTTTGCTTGAATATTAGAATTTGGAAGTCAAGATCTAGGTGCTAGGTATGCTCAATGCTTTGGGGGTCACTTTCTACAAAGCCCTTTCAGAGCTAGGAAATATATGTATGTATGTATGTATGTATGTATGTATGTAGATGCATATATATATACACACGCACATACATATTTTATATATATTTATTTATTAAAATTCTAAATTTCTAATGCTTCTAATTCTAATTCACCACCAAAAGATTCATGTCCTTTTTTTTCCTTTATGTATTCATACTCCATTTCTGACAGTGGGAAAACTAGCCCCCATTATCCATAATTAATTTAGTTTTTTTAATCAATCCTCCAGTATGCTTCCAATCTCCCATCGTCTTTAGCCCTTCCCACACATAGGTGTCCTCCTCACTCTGCTTAGACTTAGACACTCAGATTTAGCAAATAAAAATAAAGGATGCTGGGTTACATTTGAATCTCAGGAAGCAGTAATTATTTTCTTAGTATAAGTCTGTCCAATGCAATATTTGGAATATATTCATGCTGAATAATTGTCTTGTATTAATCTGGCAGCTTAGGAGCTGGCCCTGCACTTGAACACTCTCCCACCCTGCTCAGACTTTGAAACCCAGCTCTGGGTTTCTGCATATGTGGATTGATTCCTTACTCTACTAGGGCCCTGACCTTACCCAAGTTATCTTCCCCACAGTAAAACTTTCCTCACCTAATTTGCATTCTGACACCTATGTGTGATTTCCCCTAAGCATGGATGCCCCCTTTACTGGCTTAGGTTCTGAAATCTCTTCTCAGCCAAACCAACATGGACTATTCTCCTTATTCTGCATGGCCTCCAACAACCACTGCCAGACCATCCCTCCAGGGATGCCTCCCTTACTGGCTTAGACTCTCCCTTCCATCCCATGTTGATGCTCTCCTCGCCTTGCTTGGGCACAGATGCCACATGCTGAGTCACCCCTGCATGGGTATCTTATTCTCCGGCTCTGATACCCCAAGCCAGACCTCATGTATGGATAGTTACTTGTTTCTGTGAGGGTTCTGACTTCCCACACTTGGTCGCACTTCTATGTGGACAGCATCATCACCGTGCTTAGGTTTCCTTCCCATGCCCACTGCATCTTCTGTGGATCTTTCGTTATCCTGTTTAGGCTCTGAAATATCACATCTGGCTGCCCCTCTGTGTAGATGACTACCTTCTCCTGACCTGCCCAGTGACTTCAGGATTGAATTTTTCAGAAAAAGAAAGACAAGGAAAAGAGGAAGAGCAAGACTTTGCATCTTGATTCAAGTGAAGCAAAAGAAGAAATGTGAAGGTGGATTCATCCCTGCAGTGGTGTTTTACTATAAGTAAAACTGTCCACTAGTTTTTGTTCTTTTTTCTTTAGCACAAACATTTAATATATTGAGGAGGCTGAGGTAGAAGGATCACTTGACGCCAGGAGTTCAAGACCAGCCTGGGCAACATAGCAAGATCCTATCTCTGCAAAAATTAAAACAAATTAGCTGGGCATGGTGGCACATGCCTGTAGTCTTAGCCACTTGGGGGGCTGATGCAGGAGATCACTTGAGCCCAGGAATTCAAGCTTACAGTGAGCTATAACCATGCCACTGCACTCCAGCCAAGGTAACAGAGCAAAACCCTGTCTCTTTTTTTGTTTGTTTTTAAAACCTGTAATATGCTATTTACTTATTATCCAAATTTATCTCCTACCACATTCCTCTCATCATTGTATATTTCAGCTATAGTTATACTTTTGGAATATATTCTCTCATGTTTAGAAAAACTAAAAGAAAAATGTAATGAAACCATATTTTCTACTTTTCACTTTCTAAATATTTGGAGGAGATTTCAGCTTTTTGGAGGAAAAACATAAAGAAAATGGTGTTAAATATGTGCTACTTCATAAATATTTTGGAACACATACTATCCTTTAAAGCAGTTATTATCAAACAGGCTGCTGTTTGGGAATAAATTGTGAAGCTTTTTCAGGGCATAACTGTTGTTCTCATTTCTTCTTTCTGACACTTTGGTGTGTCCTCAGGGGAAGGAATAGGGTTAAGATAGACAAGGCTCTGCAGCTTAGAAAAATATAAAGATGATACTGTGTCAACCATCCTTTGATAACATAACAGTAGCATTCTGATCAAAGGAATGATATTAACATAACAATAGAAATTACTGTTTAATCACTTATTTTTCTTGTCCAATACATTATGTGTTCTTTTAATGTTTAAGTTATTTTTTTTTAATCTTACTGCATAGAAAATCTGTGCATTTGTCACGTCTGCCACATCGAGTGCAAAATGTTCCTGGTTCATAAGGTCTTCTCGTCAGCGTTCCCCTACGAACAAAAAAGCAGAAAATATTTAGTTAGAAAAAGCTTTAACTTTTTACATGTAATTTAAATAATATAGTTACTAATTTTTAATTAGGTTAAAAGGTGAGTTAAGAAAATGGACTTAAGGAAATAATTTTAATTAGATATTCAATGTTTCCCTTTTGTTCTCCCCCAGAAAACAGTCTTTTCTGAAACAAATTCCCATGTCCTTGAAACAAAGTATTATAATTAAATGTAAAGTTCCTTTTATTTTAGTTTATAGCAAAATGTATCTTTTAAAAATGAATAATGTAGGCTGGGTGTGGTAACTCCCCTGCCTGTAATACTGGTGCTTTGGAATGCCGAGGTGGGAGAATCTGAGACCAGGAGACCAGCCCGGTTAACATAGCAAGATCTTGTCTCTTCAAAAATATTTTTTAAAGAATTAGCCGGGCATGGTGCGTGCTTGTAGTCCCAGCTACTCAGGACACTGAGGAAGGAGGATCACTTGAGTCCAGGAGTCTGAGGCTGCAGTGAGCTATAACTGTGCCACTGCACTCTAGCCTGGGCAACAGAGCAAGGCTCTGTCTCTAAAATAAATAAATAAAAATTAAAAATTGATAATACAGAATGTTTTATAATTAATTGCTTTCTGGTTGGCACAAATGCATAAAAAGTTTTGTGGAAATAATATATTAAGTATCTGTAGAGTTTACAAAATTCTGAAATGCCTATGTCCCAAAGACTCATCTGCATGAATTATTTTGGTGGTCTATATATAAAAACACGTAAATTTATAAAGAAGCAAATAAATATAAATGGAAGTTTACAAAGTTGATTTAATCCATTGTACAAAACTAAAGAGAGAAGTAAAAAATAACTACATCAATTGCCTAGAGCTAAGTGAGAAAAAAGGCCCCAAACTACTTATAAGTTGGGAAATTTATATAAATGATCTAGGATAAGAAACATAGAGAAAACAAGCAGAGAAAAGATACTTTTGAATGGGGGCAGGGTCATTAATCCAGGTAATTTATTCAGGATTGCCTATTTGCCTGTTATATAATTGAGAGCTATAAAAATAAACATTATTTATTTAAGTCCTTGGTTAGGCCTTATTAGGTTTTCTAGAAGAATGGCCAAGCCTAAGAAATATATATTAAAAAATCTGAGTATCACATTTCTCAGATATGTCTTATTTAATCAGAGAGTTTGGGTGATATCTAAGGCATCTGATATCCTTGAATTGTAAGCATTCAAGTCAACCAGGAATGCTGATAACAGTGATATTTTGAGAAAGCTTATCTATGCATGACATAAACCTCAAAACTTGTGAAAAAAACTTGATATTATTATTTCTACAGTAAAACAAAATATCATTTGACAAAAATGAATTGCATTTTAAGTCAACGATTAAACATCAAACCGGGGAAATATTTGTGAATTACTTTACTTAAATGTAATGTGCAATGTCTATGGCACACTTACAACAAAATGATACGTAATTAAATGAAAGGTCCTGTAGTCAATTCAGATCCAACATGCCTAAAAATAAAAAAGTCCCTTTCCCTCAACACTGTATCTTTTCCTAGCTCAGTTAATAAAATTACCTATCAATTAAGCTTAAATTCTTATGGTCATCTTTTCTAATATTTGAATTCTAGAGTAATCTAATATTGTTTTGTTCTACTTTTTAAAATTGTACTTAAAATGCGTGTTTTTGTTTTTAAAAATAAAAATAAGGACTAGCAAATAATTATGTGTTTCAGTTTTAAAAATATTGTTTCAGTTTTTTTCCAATACATTATAAACCATTAATGTAAAATGGAAGAATAAAACAGACTTGGTCATGCATACAGAAAATAACAAGTCAAAGCAACAGATACTTTTATGCAGATATCTTTATAGATTAGGAACATTTTCTTCTCTTTATTATTTATCTTTCCTTGGCTCTTCTCTATTCTTTAGAAATACCAATTTGTATATTTATATGCCATACGTATTCACATATAAATCTACAATTTTTTCACATATATTTTGGCATCTATCTTCACCTCTGTGTTTCTGAGAAAAATTTGCAAGGTTGCTTTGACTTGTTATTTTCTGTACGCATGACCAACTCTGTTTTATTCTTCCATTTTACATTAATTTCCTGTATGTATTTTAACAAATTACCACAAATTGGGTGGCTAAAACAACATAAATGTATTATCTCACTGTTCTGGAGGCCTGAAGTCGAAAATCAAGGTGTTGGCAGGGCTGTGCTACCTCCAAATCTTCTAAGAATATATTCCTTGATTTTTCCATCTTCTGGTGGCCTTAGCTCCTTGGCTTGTGGATGTATCACTCTAGTTGCTTCAGCTGTGGTCACACTGCCTCCTCCTCTTCTGTGTGTCTAGTGCTGAATCCTCCTCTCTTCTCTTACATGCATACAGGTGATTGCATTTATCCCTTTCAAATAATCCAGGATAAACTCCTTCTCTCAAGATCCTTATCTTAATCACATCATTGCCATATTAGGTAATATTCACCCTTTTACCCTTTAAGTAATATTGACAGGTTCTGGAAATTAGAGGCTAAACATAACTTTGGAGGGGGGCACCGTTCACTCTACTATATGTTCTAATCTTCAATTTGGTTCTTTTACTTTCATTTCTACCCAGTATTTTATAATACTGTAATGAATTGATTTTTTTTTTTACCAACTACCCTTAAGAGAGATAATGTGATTGCCTATTTTGGGTACATGATCAAGTAAGAATTGGACTGAGTTGACGGATATATATTCCAGTCTAGATCCTTTAAGGTAGACTTGCCAATATTTGTATCAAAGGAAAAATGGTTAACAGAAATTTCAAGGCAAAGAAGCCTATGTTATGGAAGAGTGGTAAAAATAAAAAGGATAATTTCAGCAACTAGTAGTTTCGTCTTATCATTGTAGTCATTGGTGACCCCTCACTATTCTTATTAAGATCACCGAATACCTTCATCTCATCTAATGAAACTGTCAATTCTTCTTCCTCAACTTCTCATTTCTCTCAGCAACATATCATATAGTTAACCACTTTGGGCTTCTTAGCTCACGTTCTTCGCTTGACTTCCAAGTACCTTACCAGTTGGTTTTTTGTTTCCCTCATACCTCATTAGCCTCTCCTCATTCTCCTTTACTAGCTCTTTTGCCTTAGGTTGAAATAGTGTAGTGCCCCAGGACTTAGATCTTAAATTAAGTCTACATATTTGCTCCCCTATGCAGTGACCTCATTCACTGTGACTTGTACTTCAGGACCTTTAGACCAGAAGTTTCCTCTCCATAGAAAACAACTACATACTTTCATATAGCTATCTGCTTCTCATGATGCATCACCTTTCCTACATCTACTTTTTTACCTAATATACCAAAATAGAAAACATATTTTTTGATCTTCTCTAAGTTAATGACATCACCATCCACCCAGTTTTTTAGAGTAAAGACATAGGCATAGTGTTGCTTGATTATTTTCTTCAATTTATTGCTAAAGTCAAGCCAATCGGCTTGTATTATTAGTTCCATCTTCATAATATACCCAGAAACTGACCTTTCCTCACCATTTCCATTCTATGGTAGGCAGAATTCTAAGATGAATCACAAGATCCTCCACCCCTCATGTACACACCATGCATAACTCCCAGGAGAATGAATATGATGAATTTTACTCCCTTAACTATATTATATGGCACCATTGAACTTAAAATATTGACATTATCTAGGTTGATCTTGACTCAGCCTATGGGTGTTTTAAAAGAAGAGAGTTTTCTTTAGCTGGCCATAAAAGAGGAGTCAGAGATTTGAAACATGAGAAGGCTCTGACATTCCTTTGCTGACTTTTAGATGGTGCAGGCGACATGTCAAAAAAAAACCATGGGTAGCTCCAGAAGATGAGACAACACATGACTGAGAGCCAGCAAGAAAACAAGGACAAGAATCCCATCATCATACAAAGCTAAATTCTGTTCACAGCCTGAATGCACTTGGAAGCAGGTACTTCTCCAAATCTCCAGGTGAATACTTGGTCAACATCTGGATTTTGGCCTTTGAGACCTTGGGAAGAGAATCCTGCCACAGCGTGCCTGGGTTCATGGCCTACAGAACTCTGTAACAATGGGTGCCGCTTTAAAATCACTACATTTGTGGTAATTCATTATCTAACACTAGAAAAATAATCCACGTGCTAAAACCCTAATCCAAAATATCAGTCTGTAACCTGTACAACAGGACATAGCCTCCTAATTGTACTTCCTCTTTACACTCTTGGTTCTTTATATGCCATTCTCTACCAACAGCTGCAGCAATATTTTGGTTAAGGTGTTCTTTTCAAAACAAAAATGAGGTCATGCGACTCAATTGCTTAAGACCTTCCAATGGCTTTGTCATTACTTAGAATAAATTCCAAAATCTTTAACATAACCTATGTTATTATATTTGGTCTCGCTTTCATCTAACTCTCCACCGCAACTCCTACCTCTAACCACAGTTATTCCTTTCTCAAGCATGTTAAACTCATTCAAATCTCTGAGATTTGTATACATGCTCTTACTTCTATCTGGAACATCTGGTTTTCAGCTCAAATGATACCCTCCTTCTGTGACTACTCTATCTATCTTCTAGACTAGTCATTCTCTACTTGCTAATCTTGCTTGATTTTTAGAGTATATTTTATTGTCCAATTAAAATATTATGTATCTATGTGTTCACTTATTAAAAAATGTTTGTCTCCCGGCCAAGACTATAAACTAAATGTGGTGTCTTCTTGGGTCTTGTTAGTAGAAAGAACAGAGCCTGTACATACTCCCTGAGTGAATAAATGAGATTTGTGCCCCAGAAAAACTTCCACCAATGCCCTCCTCCCTTGTGTACAATTCTCTGAATTTGCAACACCAATCAGTAGTAACTTTTAAAGTTTATGCATGTAATAGGTATCCCAATGCTTCCAGTGTGTAGGAAGGAAAGGAAGCCTAAAATGTTTTGCAACTGTATATTCAAAATTTATTTTGCACATCTATGTTCAAAGTTAGCAAGACTTCTAATCAGAAAAGGGCTTTCTGAGCTTAATTTGATGTACAGCAGAGTTCTATTGTTTTTCTTAGCCAGGGAAATACAATCAATAATCACTGCTTTTTTATTTTTCTTTCTGATTAGTCCCAAATCATTTTATTTGGCAGAAATTCCTTCTCAATCTTGGTAGGCAGTCAATTATTATTGTTTATTTAAGATGTTAATTGGAATATTTTCTCACTTATTTGGAAGTATAATATTACTTATAGTATTATATCGACCTGTAAGAAAGCTTGGGACTTTCCAAGAGAGCTCTCAAGAAATGGAAGCTATTTTGGGATGTAGTTATTTTCCACCATTGGAAGGTACTCAGGTATAGGGTATAGTCACATATTAACAGCTTGACTAAAAGATGTTTGAAGTGCTTTTCAATCTCTCAAATGTTACAATTCCTTATGAGACTAGCCCCAGTTAATAATGCAATCTCCAAGGTGTGGTCAATTAAAAGTGTACTTCCTGTTACAAAACCGACATATTCCTGCAACAATTCTTACTATATAAATTTCAACACATCTAATTTTCTTTCCACTTTTACTACAAATTTTAGAATAACTATTTTGGAAAATAATTTGTCTTATGCTAATTAAATTAAATATTGTGAAATAATATTAAAGTTAAGGTTACTCTAGGAAGTAATATTTGGCTAGTGTATAAGTAAAATCAGTATGTCCAAGTTACAACTTATTTCATTATAAAATTGATTAAATATTTTTCAGTGTAACTTACTGTATTTATTTTATGGTTCAAAAAACACAAAAATACATTAAAAATGAGAAAAACTTAACCTTGAAATATTCTGAATTTATTTTACTATTATTTTATTAATTTTAAGTAACTTACCCTGGTGCATAGTTGCATATGAAAATTGCTGCATGTATAATATGTCCAATTTTTGAACATGGAGTAACAGCACAGCCAACTTTGTAAGAGTTGTCCCAAACAAGCTAAAATAATATTTTCAAGAAAGACACAAAATTTAAACACTTACTTTCTCATATTATAAACAATAATATATTCCATTCACATATAACTTTTCACCAAGCAATTCAAAAAATATAAATTATTTTCATTTTGAGACACATAGAGGGTTACTACGGAGTTAGAACAGCATTTTCAACATGGTATTTAGAGAAATACTTCAACAGGTTCTACTAATACCATATTCTTAGGAAGAACTGTTTAAGAACATAGTTGATCCAGAATAATGCCTCAGAGACAAAGGAAGTTGTGCCTGATCAATCAATTTTCAACATCTGGTTGAATTGGAGAGTTCTAGGTAATTGGCAGAGAAGATGGGAAAGAGGAGAAAAAGTTTTTAAAAGATGGAAGTTGTAGAAAAAAGGAAGAAAAAGAGGGACATCCGATTCTAGAAAAGAAAGAGATACAAAAGTAGAGAAGAACTGAATGCTATCGGCATTTCTCCTTCTCTTTGTTAAGAAAATTATATTGCAAGATAAAACAAAATCTGGCCTTTACATTAAAAAATAAAAGAGCTGGTTCCTATAAAAGAGAAATAGTTCTTGAATTGGAGTGAAAAAGATGGGAATAATCAAAGGCATTCCCAGATATATAAATTATCTATATAACTTTAACATTTCTAATACTTTCAAGTGAACAAAAAAATTACTTGCTTTGTTTTGTTAACCTCTGTGCAAGAAAGAGGAACTATTCTTGTTTTTTCTTATTCTTTATCTCAAGCCTTAGTGTTTTTAAAAGTGTGATTCTTAAAAAATAAAGTGACACATCAAAAAGGTGATACATTAAAAGAATAGAGAATATAATATCTGCAAGAGTTAAACTGAAGTTAAGCACGTCAAATGCAGGAATCAAAAACGTCTAGGAGACTAGAATTAAGGAGTAAAAACAGAGTACTATGTCAGGGAGTAGATTTGGTTAGTTTACTGAGTATTGAAGTCATATTAAAGAGTCTGGGGGATAGGAGCAAGTCACTGGAGAATCACTATGACTTTCTAGAAGAAAAAAGTGATTAGAAAAAAACTGATGAAAAAATTTTGAAGTATGATTGCATGGAACAGAAAGACATGAATGAGTTCATCATGAACAAATTTCAAAGTGTTAAGTTCTACATAAAAAGTGACATCAGACTCTATTGATTGAAAAACTTATCTTTTAAATAAACGTGGGAGTTCACGCAATAACTTGCATGAACTTCTTGATTACTGAAACAAATATTTATTGCAGACCTAAATAATGTCATGTTGTTATGTTGAGAATATATAGATGAAAAGGCAAGGTCCCTGCTCTCAGTGTAGTATCAGACATATAAACAAATTATTATTAAACAATGTGATACGTAAAATAATAAATATTATGTATTAGAAATGAAAAGTGCTTCAGTATTCCTGAAGTTTGAAGTGTGAGAGTGGGTTATTGAACCAGAGGCAGGGAAATAATACTATTAATTTTCATTTCAAATGTTTTAATCAATCAGCTATCTAGTAGTATGTGTACTGATATATGCAAAAAATATCTTCTACTTATAAATATAAGTGAATAATTTATAAATTATTTTTATTTACGGGTTTCTTCCCTCCATTTCCAGTGTGCATTATTTTTAGAAAAGTGCCTTTCATCTTTGAATATGGAGATTAGGTTTACTGTATTTAAGGGAATGTTTTAATTGTTTGTGTCACATAATAGATGGGATGGTAGACATTTTAAAGATCTGGGAGGATTGATTAGAATTATGATCTTATTAAATGTAATAATTTATTATTTGAATTTATATACAAATTTGAAACACAAAACTAGGCATAAAGCAATTAAGAAGTCTTTGAATTAATAACAATAAAAATGAGATACCTGAATATAATTAGAACAGTTTTTAGAGCAACTGCCATTTATAAAATTGTACATTTTCTTCTCTGCATACCAACTTCTGATAGCAATACTTGCAGTAAATTCATTTTCAGGGCCGACCCACATATTTTCACCAATACCATAAAATTTAGGATGGGCCATACGTACACCTTGTAAATAAATATTATGCTCAAACACACACTTTTTTCCCCATGCTCTAGCAGTCCGTGACAAAGCTACATCCCAAGTCTGTAAAATATTCAAAAAGAAAAGAAAAGAAAATGTTAATAATAAGGAGTTTTTTGTACTCTAAAATATTTTTTCTTGAGTTCTTATCATTAGATTTAAAGGAAACAATTCCAACTTTGTACTTGTGCATCTTGGTTGAGAAATTTCTATGGTAAAAACTTTGAGATAATAAAAAATGAAATGACCATTTCCTGAGACAAAGGACTATAGATATATTTGTAATAAAAATATTAAAATGTTAGATGATGGAAATAATACTCTTACAAGAAGTGAACATGTAGTCTGTTCAGAAGTATGTCATATACTTACCTATAGTCTGCTCAGACCACATATTTTTAAATTCATGCTTTTAGTACACAGAAATATAATAATCTAAAATATTATTTGTTTAAGGGGTTATTAAGTACCGATTATATGCAAAATTTTGTATTGTCAAGAATAAAATGCTACGTCAGCATAAATTTTGTCCTCAAATTGCTGTATTAGAAGAATTATATATATATATATGATTAGATATATATAAGATTTACGAATAAGAGAGAAAGACAGATGACAGAGAATACATACACACACACACACAAACACACACACACACAAAACTTTTAACACATGGTGTAATTGGTGAATGTCGCAAAAAAAGGCACGTAAAAAGTTTGTTGCAAGTTACTAGAAATAGGAGAAAATAGCATAAGATGCTGTTCCCTGGCTATCTGGAAATAACCAGAAATGTGTGCTTTTAGCATTATTTAGAGACTCATTAAATTAATTGTTAGTTCAAGACAAGAACAAAAAGCACATACTAGAAAAATCAGCAAAATATCAGTGAAACCAAAATTCTAAGTACATATGTTACAGTGTATCTGAAAGTAAACATCTGAAAACCAATACTCATATTTCCTTAGAGCAGGGGTATCTAACATTTTGGCTTCCCTGGGCCACATTGGAAGAAAAAGAATTGTCTTGGGCCACAGGTAAAATACATTAACACTAAGGATAGTTGATGACTTAATTAAAAAATCACAAAAGAATTCATAATGCTTTAAGAAAGTTTACAAATGTGTGTTGGGATGCATTCAAAGCTGTCCTGGGCCATATGCGGCCCATGAGCCACAGGTCTGAGAAGCTTGCCTTAGAGCTTTCTTAGTGAATCCCACAAATTATACATAATTACAATATAGAAAATAAACGTATCAGACCTCTAGAATATCTCTCCACTACTTCCCTTCCCCAATGGTAACCACTATTAAAAAAATTCCCTGGGTGTACATCTCTCTATCTCTGTAAAAACAAACTTATACACACATTCAAATATCAGTTTGTTTTAAATGGGTAGTTTGTGATTTTTTTCCCTTGTACTATTTTGATTATACCATATATAATATTATTGGCCTGCAACTTTCAGTTTTCATGTCCAGAGAGAGTTCCATATTAACATAACTAGATATGCTTAATTTTTACACGGTTTACATAGTATTCCTAGCATGAATAGTCTATAAGAAATGTAACCATTTCACTATTAATAGACTTTAGATTGTTTCCCATTTGCAAACAATGCCCCATGGATATACTGCAACTGATTTATTTTGTATATAGTTCACATACCTCATCCTTACTATGTAGCAGTCACTATTTTAAGTGTATTTTATGTATTATCTCACTGAATGTTCCAATAACCCCAGGAGGTAGGCATTATTATTATTTCTGTTTGCCCAGAGGAAGTAACTAAATCACAAAGAGGTTAAGTAGTTTAAGTGTATAAAATGTGTCATAGCCAGTAAATTGTGGAGCATGGATTTAAACCAACAATTTCTAATTCCCAACTCCAAGTTTACAAGGATTTTACTTCCCATGATTGGGAAGTAAATAAATTGTCATAACTCCAAATTCTTTTATTTGACTGTTAATAAAAACCATAATTGAAAAGAGAGGCTAACGTTTAAAAAAGCAGTTAATGAGATACTTAATGAAAAATGTCATTAAGATTGGTAAATGTGCTTTGGTAAAGCAAAAAATTTTTGTTAGCCATTAGTCTTTGTTTAGCTAGAAAAGCTGAATCCAAACTCTAATTTGTACTCTCTTATAGGCAACATGAAGATTTTAAGACTTTATTTCAATATATTACCCTAGAATATGTCTAAGTATGGGACTTTTCTCATTAATCAGGCTTAGCATTTGATGGGCTCCATTTAAAAATAATTTTAAAATATATTTTTTATTTTACTTTAGGTTCTGGGATACATGTGCAGATCATGCAGGATTGTTGCATAGGTACATACATGGCAATGTGGTTTGCTGTCTCCATCTCCCCATCACCTATATCTGTCATTTTTCCCCGTGTTATCCCTCCCCAACCTCTCTATCCCCTGCTGTCCCTCCCCTATTTCCCCCCAACAGACTCCAGTGTGTGATGCTCCCCTCCCTGTGTCCATGTGTTCTCATTGTTCAGCACCCACCTATGAGTGAGAACATGCAGCATTTGGTTTTCTGTTCTTGTGTCAGTTTGCTGAGAATGATAGTTTCCAGATTCATCATGTCCCTACAAAGACACAAACTCATTGTTTTTAATAGCTGCATAGTATTCCATGATGTATATGTGACACATTTTCCTGTCCAGTCTATTATTGATGGGCATTTGGGCTGGTTTCAGGTCTTTGCTAATGTAAACAATGCCGCAATGAACATATGTGTGCATGTGTCTTTATAACAGAATGATTTATAATCCTTTGGATATATACCCAGTAATGGGATTGCTGGGTCAAATGGAATTTCTATTTCTAGGTCCTTGAGGAATCGCCACACTGTCTTCCGCAATGGTTGAACTAATTTACACTCCCACTTTTACACTCGCAGTGTAAAAGTGTTCCTATTTCTCCACATCCTCTCCAGCATCTGCTGTCCCCAGATTTTTTAATGATCACCATTCTAACTGGCGTGAGATGGTATCTCAATGTAGTTTTGATTTGCATTTCTCTGATGACCAGTGATGATGAGCATTTTTTTCATGTTTGTTGACCTCATGCATGTCTTCTTTTGTAAAGTGTCTGTTCATATCCTTTGCCCATTTTTGAATGGGCTTGTTTGTTTTTTTCCTGTAAATCTGTCCGAGTTCTTTGTAAATTCTGGATATCAGCCCTTTGTCATATGGGTAAACTGCAAAAATTTTTTTCCATTCTCTTGGTTGCTGATTCACTCTAGTGACTGTTTCTTTTGCTGTGCAGAAGCTGTGGAGTTTGATTAGGTCCCATTTGTCTATTTTGGCTTTTACTGCCAATGCTTTTGGTGTCTTGGTCATGAAGTCCTTGCCTACTCCTATGTCCTGAATGGTTTTCCCTATGTTTTCTTCTAGGGTTTTTATGGTGTTAGGTCTTATGTTTAAGTCTTTAATCCATCTGGAGCTAATTTTAGTGTAAGGTGTCAGGAAGGGGTCCAGTTTCTGCTTTCTACATGTGGCTAGCCAGTTTTCCCAACACCATTTATTAAACAGGGAATCCTTTCCCCATTGCTTATTTTTGTCAGGGTTGTCAAAAAACAGATGGTTGCAGATGTGTGGCTTTGCCTTTGAGGCCTCTGTTCTGTTCCATTGGTCTAGATGTATATACTGGTACTGTTTTGGTACCAGTATCATGCTGTTTTGATTACTGTTGCCTTGTAGTGTAGTTTGAAGTCAGGTAGCGTGATGCCTCCAGCTTTGTTCTTTTTGCTTAGGATTGTCTTGGCTATGCAGGCTCTCTTTTGGTTCCATATGAAGTTTAAAGTGGTTTTTTCCAGTTCTGTGAAGAAGGCCAATGGTAGCTTGATGGGAATAACATTGAATCTATAAATTACTTTGGACAGTATAGCCATTTTCACAATATTGATTCTTCCTAACCATGAGCATGGAATGTTTTTCCATCTGTTTGTGTCCTCTCTTATTCCCTTGAGCAGTGGTTTGTACTTCTCCTTGAAGAAGTCCTTTACATCCTTTGTTAGTTGTATTCCTAGGTATTTTATTCTCTTTGTAGCAATTGTGAATGGCAGTTCGTTCTTGATTTGGCTCTCTTTAAGTCTGTTATTGGTGTATAGGAATGCTTGTGATTTCTGCACATTGATTTTGTATCCTAAAACTTTGCTGAAGTTGCGTATTAGTTTAAGATTTTGGGCTGAGACAATCGGGTCTTCTCAATATACAATTGTGTCGTCTACAATAGAGACAATTTGACTTCCTCTTTTCCTCATTGAATGCCCTTTATTTCTATTTCTTGCCTGATTACTCTGGCTAGAACTTCCAATACCATATTGAATAGGAGTGGTGAGAGAGGGCATCCTTGTCTAGTGCCAGATTTCAAAAAGAATGCTTCCAGTTTTTGCTTATTCAGTATGATATTTGCTGTGGGTTTGTCATAAATAGCTTTTATTGTTTTGAGATATGTTCCATTGATACCTAGTTGATTCAGAGTTTTTAGCATAAAGGGCTGTTGAATTTTGTTGAAGGCTTTCTCTGCATCTATTGAGATAATCATGTGGTTTTTGTCTTTGGTTCTGTTTACATGGTAAATTACATTTATAGAGTTACATATGGTGAACCAGCCTTGCATCCCCAGGATGAAGCCTACTTGAGTGTGATGGATAAGCTTTTTGATGTGCTCTTGCAATCAGTTTGCCAGTATTTTATTGAAGATTTTTGCATCTATGTTCATCATGGATATTGGCCTGAAATTTTTTTTGTTGAGTCTCTGCCAGGTTTTGGTATCAGGATGATGTTGGTCTCATAAAATGATCTTGGAAGGATTCCCTTTTTTTGTATTGTTTGAAATAGTTTCATAAGGAGTGGTACCATCTTCTCTTTGTATGTCTGGTAGAATTCAGCTCTGAACCCATCTGGACCAGGGCTTTTTTTGGTTGGTAGGCTGTTAATTGCTGCCTCAACTTCGGCCCTAAACATAGAAGCACTAAACATAAAAAATAATTTTAAAAGGAATGTATAATCATAACTCTCATACATGTGTCAGTGATTAATTAAT